TAATATATTAAAATGGTGAAACATATATACAAATGTTTGTTATACTGTTGGTTATCACAGCTGTGTCCAGAGCTTTAAATAATTGTCTCTTTTTCATCAAAGTCCATGCAGGCTAGTTCAGTTATTTTAGAACACAATTTGACGAGACGAATTATTCTTCATGCTCTGTTATTACAATACAGTCTGTGATAATTTCACTGTAAAATCACCACTATAACTTTTGGATACCTGATGATGACAAAACCTTGTCAAAACGTTGTACATTTACTGTTATGTTAAACTTATATTAAAGTTTTTCTTCATTACCCATTCAAGCCTCTCCAACCATTATTAGTCTCAAAGTGGGTTCCTCGTCATTGAATTTGATCTTCTACCATACTTTACTGTAAACATTTTACATTGACAATGATTTATTTTCTAAACAATTCGAACTTAGATTCACCTGTAAAGAGCATATGTCTCCAGCTTTACTCATTTCACTGTTTGTCATACTATGCACAGTTTGTTTGTGTCTTCTCAGCAGCAGTTTTCAATTAGCTACAAATCCACTGAGACCAATTTGTGCTAAATGTTTATCTTACTGTCATTGAGGTAATATTAAAAAATGCATGCTATTTACAACAAGATCTTTACTCAACCAGTGTTTATCTTGTAAGGAATATAAATTGAAATACTTAACATCACTTTCGGAGAATTTCATTGTTCTGTCTCAACTTCTATTGTTAACAGTCTCAGTTGCACATACCCTTTCCAGTCTTTCATACAGCTCTTATTGAAACATAGTCTTGCTGCAATTGTTTTCATGGAGTATCAATGACCAGACAAAATTTTTACATACATGTCTTGGAAGCCATAACTAGGTAACACTACTATTACTAGGAATAGTATGACTACCTGTACCTTTATTAGCATTATACTGGTGCGGCACTTTCTGACTGATTGTATGACAACCAGTCACAAAGTAAACTATCAATGTGTAACTGAACTCCATTGTAGTCCATTTTTGCACAACAAAAGGTGGCATTCCTGTATTATTTGTCATTTATAAACATTTTTTTTGCCATTTCTATAATTATTTTGAATACTAGTTGTCATACCCTTGCATACAACTAAATAAAAGAATAACTGTGTGCTAATGATTCACTGTAACCTTATAAACCTGTTTAATTACTTATTTTCATCTCTGTAATTAACTTTAAATAATGTTTTAATATAAACAGGGTATAATTGGCACGTTTTATATAATTCTGTATTTTTAAAATGTTCAAGTGCTAGAAAGTTATTACTGTATTAAATAGCTTTAAAATGTCAAACAACAAATCATGGAAGGATATTTAAAGCATTTTATTACTTCTTCTTACATTTCAAGAATTGTTTTGTGTATAAATCTTTATGATTTGAGTTGCTTTTAGAAAGGTCTGATGAAGTTGTATTTCTAAAAAGAAGGAAGTATTATTAAGTTTACTCTTGTTTAGAAAAAAAAATCAAAAAGAATTGATTTTTTCAGTATGAAGATGAGAATGAAGAGAAGCCACAGAAGAAGGATGATTCAGAATTTTTAAAGGTTCATGCCAAAGTTCGTTCACAGATGATTTCATAGGAAGTTACTGGTCACTCATGTAAATAAGGAAGCAACCTGACAGTCATTAGTAATAATATTTTTCAACTGGAATTGTATAGACCCAGAATCCAGTAAAGAATAGGATGGATTAATGAAAGTTGATATAATATGTTAGTTTATTTACGTACAGTGGATATTTTGAAGGCACTCTCAATACAAAATACAGCTTGGGATGAAGAATGCTACTATTTATCTTCACACTAATGTGTTAACCAAAACAGGCTTTAGAGCTGCTTAAGTATCACAGAAAGCCTGTGGTGTATTAAGGCAATCAAATAACATATGTGAACATTTATAAACCATCTAGTGTTCTGGATTATGTATAAAATGTTTTATTTTTATGTGAGGAAGAATACACAAACTTGTTATTTATAAAAACTAGTGACATCTTTTTTTTTTCGTTGTTTTTTTAAGGAATTTTGTGAAGAAAGGTTTTGAAGTGTTAAATAATGTTGATACATACATAATTATCACCTTCAATAATCTAATAAAAATTTAGCACAACTGTGTAAATTGGCCATGCTCATTTTATCCAATTGCAAGTTTCTTTCTGACTGTTTCTTGACCATTCAGTCTATTGAAGTCAGCTTATAAAGCATTGCTTATAATTTTCTGATTTATATTGTATAAAACAACCAGGATAATACACTATTTTGTTTTGTTTGTATCAGTGTAATGTTGGCATCTTTACAGTATAAGGATCATATTTATGTATTTGTTTAGTTTTCACTGCATTAGTTATTCAAATTATGCTTTGATGGCATTTTATCATACAGTGCATCTTGACTAACCTACAAGTCATAGGACATAACCACTTCACAACCTAGTCTTAATGCAACATGATAGATACACGACATTCAACCTCAGCATTATTATTTTATCTTGTGAATTTGGAGGATTAATTGTACCTAAATGGACATATATAAACTCACAAAATAAAGGTTTGATGTCCTTTAAACTTTACAACTTAAATAAAATATTTACAAAAATGCAAAAGAAAAAAAGATACTTTATTGGTCCATTTGTCTGTGTGATAAATAATTTGGAGACTCTCCATATTTTCTTTAGAGATTAAGGTAAAAATTATATTTAATATATTTTGCACAGAAAAATTTATGTTCATTGTTACTCTTAGCCTCTGAGAGAATAAAATAATAAATCAGTTGTATAAAAAAAAGTTCAACATTAAACCTAGCTCAGGAACTCAATAATTAAAACATGTTTATTGCCTAATAATTTAAGTATTAGCACCTATAACTTTTTCTTATTCTCTGCTGCATCTAACAATAAGTATTTAGAACTTCAGTCATGCCCGAACTCTTCAATGTTGGGTAATGACCTCTAGCCTTACCAGAACTACATTTTATATCTGTTCATAGAATCCATTCTTTTTTATATTTTAAAATAGGCATACTATGCAAACTACACCATAAAGGTATTTAATAGTTTAAAATTGATTTAATATTACTTGTAATATTATGAATATAAATGGTATAAGAGTGTTGTTGCACTTAACTCATGTTCTAAGCAAGTAGTTAGGAAATATTTTATTATAACTTAAAGCAACAGAGTATTATATGATTAATCCATCAAAATTATCTATTTTCCAGTATTGTTGTGCTATTATGACATTTATTATAAAATATTTTGTTGATCTACTCTTGCACTGTATTAATAACTATGTTTGTCAAAATGTGTTATTTTGTATTTGTAAACATTAAATGTAATCACCCTTCCACAACCCAGGAAATGCTGTTGTATTGTGTTTTATGGTATTAACCAGTCCTAAATGTGATAAAAAAAACAATTTATGGAGAAAGAACTGTACATATAGTACTTTACCTTGTAAACATTGGCATATTAGTTAAAATAAAAATGATTATCTCCAAGATGTGTTTTTAGTACACCATATTTTAAAATTTAAATAATTTTCTCTCTCTCTTTATATATATAACGTAAAGTGCATTAAAATAAGACAGCAACTCACACGAAATTTGAGAAACATATGCAAATTAGTGTCTTTTCTCTTATTTTCAAAACCATGCTAACACAACATAACTTATCGTAAACAACAAAGAACCATTTGGTCCTTCAAGAATGTCCTGAAAAAAAAAAAAGTTAAAATGTAAACCTATCTTTTATTAATCAGGAAATTGTCTGTTCCCCTTTTAAACTCATGTAAGATTCCAACCTCCATTACACTGTCAGAAATAACTCATTCCATAAGCAGATCACCGTGTTACAAAAATATATCTTAAGTGGAGCTTAGCCTGTATTTTATAAATTTTAAAACTTGTGTCCTCTCATCCTATTAGCTTCAGAATAAAGCCTCACAAAGAAACTATAGGCCTTTACCCTATTTATAGTCATGTAAATGTCAGTAAGATCACCTCTTACACTTCATAACTAAAAAGACCAAAAGAGATCTTACTAATATCTCATGTAATAATTCTCTCGTCATTGGAACCATCCTAGTAGCCCTTCAATGAACCCTTTTAAATACTTTCATATCTTTTCTAGAAAACCAAAATGATATAGTCATTAATTATTTTACTATATTGCTTAATTTAATTGCCACTTCCATTAAAGTGGAAGTTGACCAATACAAGATTGTAATGTTACTAATAGTAATATCTGAGTAAGGCCTTTTAACAGTGCTAGAATAAGACAAGTAACTTATTTTGAAAAATCTAACTGAAAATAGTTGAATAGGCTCATGTTTACATATTGAATTTCAAAAGGAAGAAATAAAAATATTTGTTATTCTTAATTTTGGTTTTATTTACTCTTGAAACAAAATACTTTTTGGGATCTTAGGAGGTACATTTAGTAGATATGCTTGAGGTAGTAAACTCAATTGTAATTGTAATTTCACATGTTTAAGAATTATTTTAATTTAATTAGTAAAAAAAGCAATATATCATTATTCAACTAAGTACCCATACTGAGAGACAGTTGAACTTTGATCAGTTCCACAGACAAGGGTTAAAGTATAAATATTTATTAGATTAAGAAAATGTCAGTTTCAAAGTTCTATTGGCTATATGTATAGGTAGTTATTGCTTTTTTTTCTGTTATACCCTGTTTCTTCATATTTTTTTTTTCTTTTTTGGCAAAGATTAGAGATCGTACTAAAGATTTAGTTAAGAAGTATACATATTATTTAATTAATGATGTTTTATTGCTGATGGCCTTTGGCTTCATTAAAAAAGATAAGTCGCATTCCAGAAACATCAAGGATACAATAGGAATTATTCAGATTCACCGAAATTGTTTTTCAGTTTTATTACTTTAATAAAATACCTTTAAAATTTACACAGTTATATATATTATCAACACTCCCAAAACATATCTCTTCAGTAATGTTGGTTTTTATGTGGAATACCAATATTAACTTTGAAAAAAAAAATTATAGTGTGAAAAATATCTACCGACATATTTCTGAATTTAAAGTTACAATCCTTCCCGGTAGTTATGTGTGTGTGTATAAAACGAGACCTTTAGGTAAGTATAACCAATATTAGAAATTTTGATTACTGCATTGGCATACTTTTAATGATTTGTAGGTTTGAGAGAGACAAAGCTGTGTAACTCTAATACAACTAAGTTATAGATTGAAATATTTTACTTATTTGCTTATATTATTATTAGATAATTCTCATACCAAGACCAGCTAAGAGCTGTAATTCTAAACAATTACTTGTTGACTGACTGTCCCCTCTCTTGTCAGTAGTTCAAATTTAGGATTAGCTGTATCTGAACTGGAAATAGGTGGAATTTGGAAGGATTTCTGAACTGACAATTTAGCCAGTTTGTCGTTCACATTGAACTTTTCCCATAATTTAAGTAGTTTTTCATATGTTTATATGGCATAATATTAATGATCCTTAACTCTGTTGACTTGAAAGTGTTGTTTGTAAGTGTGCATTCAGCTGTTAATGAGGTTATAATTATGGGTGATTTTAATTTCAGGCATATAGATTGGGAAATGCTGGAGTCAAATCATGAGGGAGGAAGGTTTTTGGAAATTGTTAAGATGTTTTTCTTCACTAATTGGTCAAGGAACCTACTAGAAACAATGCTATTTTAAATTTATTGTTAACTTCTAATATAGAAATTGTTGAGAGTGTAAACATCTAGATG